TTCTATTTTTAGATAGTCATGATTTGTTCTATTTTATTTTTTTGATAGTCATGATTATTTATAAAGAAGTATATGTTCTAAATTCTGATCTATAATTTTATAAATGTTTTCAGCCCAAAGAATCTAAATCTCACCATCGGAGTTCGAAACTATGAACCTCATTTGAAATAGTTACAAGGATATCATCACACTATATGATAGTTTGCACTTGTATACTCAAATTATTTCAATAGAATATAAAAATCTTGACAAATTAGCATCAAATATTTATATATCTTGTACTCCTCCCGTCACATTTTGTTTGTCTGGTTTAGTTAATAAAGTTTTACTGAAGTATTTTTAATTCAATTTTTCATAATATTAAGTTTAGTATTAATTAGTATATAAAAATTTATATATTCAAAAACTATATTAAAATTAAAGTACTATTAAACACACACACACACACACACAAAAAAGTAATTACAAATTACAAAAGAAAATAAATAACGAAGAAATAGTTTGTTTGATCAATGAATACGTGCAGTAAACATGTTAGACAAAATGGGACAAAAGGATAAATAGTTATTATAATTTCCAAGCTATGTACAATAAATAACCCAACTTTCATAAGATAACAAAAATTATTTCTAAAAAAATTACAACATATTTAAAAAAAAAAAAAATTTATCAAAATATATCCACCGTATCTATTTCATAAAACTAGCCATTTGCAATGATAGGTTACAAGATCATATCGAACACGGTGGTCAGGATATTGAAGTTTTGGGTTAAAAATTTTGAAAAAAATATAGTACAAATACTATATTTAAAAAAATCATAAGTGTTTCTCTTCAAAAAAAAAAAAATGATAAGTGTTTTAAAAGAATACTTGATTTGAATTAATCAAAAAGAAAAATAAAATAAAATAAACATTAAAAAGAAAAAAAAAACATTATAGTCACAGTGCACATAATTCTACTATGCGTACTCCCAAATTCTACTCCCTTACTTATACTTCCTGAGGTGACAAACAAGAATTGATTATTTTTATTATAGGCTCTGTTTGACAACGCTAAGCTAGGAGCTTATAGCTTATTTTAAGCTACTAAGAAGCTATAAGCTCTGTTTGGTAATATTCTCAAAATAAGTTCCTAGCTTAAAATAAGAGCTTATTTTGGAATGCTACTTTAGGTAGCGTTTCAAAATAAGCTACTAGCTTCCTAACTTTTTTTCCCATCTTTACCCTTGTTATTTTAAAGTAATGACATATTTTAACCTTATGAATTAAAACCCTTTCTCTTCTCCTATCCCAACTTTCACGTCAATCCCTTCCTTCGTCTTGTTTCCTGCTAAACAATTTTAAAGTATTATTATTATTATTATTATTAAATTAGTAATATGGCTTCAATCTCAATTTGAACAAGAGCCGCCAACTAATGCTCAAGAAGCATTCAATCGTGCACATTCTTCTCTTCGAAGTTGTATTGAGAGATCGTTTGGAGTATTGAATAAGAGATGGAAGATACTTGCTAAAATGCCGCAGTTCAGTGAGGAGACCCAAACAGAGCTTAGCTCCTAGCTTATAGCTTTTCAGCTAGGTTGCCAAACAGAGCCTATGTGAGTCCACAGCAAAATGTCTATATCAAGAATATGTGAGAAAGAATATAAGTTGGGAGTATAAAATGGGAATACATATTTTCCTTAATGATTTCGGCCTTTTGAGGAGAAATAATGTGACATTTATGTTCCCCAACAAACCATTAATGAATACATGTATTATAATGAATAAGAGAGGTCCAAAGTCAATATTGTATGTTTATGTATTAATGTACTATTAAATCACCTGTGTGATGTACCGATATTATTTTTAATATATATAATAAAGTTAAAGGTCAAGTTATAAATAATTATATTAGTTGGAAGTGTATAATTTTTTGGATTATAAGATAAGTGTAAAAGTATCAATAATATATGACTCGTTTGTTCGCAATTATTTTAGAAAAATCGATATGCGATATGATTTATGTAATTATATTATTATTTAAATAAATATGTGAAAAAGGAAAAATAATTTTAAAAAGCATTAAGAAGTGAAAAGAAAATTGGAACCAAACTGTATTTTAAAATTGTTTTAATATTTTAAATTACCTGATTTAAAAATGTGTTTTTTCTCATAACTGATTTAGTTAATTTTTTATTTGTAAAATAAATATATTTGAAATGAAAAAAAAAATTACACAATAGACAGGAATAAAAAATACTTAAAATTAAAACATGATGAATTCATTACTACTCTAGTAAAATTGGTTTAGAAAGTGCAGAAGATAATATAATAACAACTATAATATTAAAATGTGATTTTATAAAAAATTCAAACTCTTACAATAACAAAAGACTTATTTAGGTTTATTTATTTACGATTCAGGACCTCAACACGTAAACAATATTGTTGAAAAATGATTCGTTTAATTTGGAAAGCATTCCCAGTACATGTGATGTTGAAGGCGGGTAACCCATATGAGTTGATAGTTGAGAGAAATTTAACATTGATCATTGATGGTGTCATCAATATAATTCCGTATACTACACGTTTGCTTGCTGTATTTTCAAACCATGCTTCTTTTCAAAATTAATTGCATCCATCATTTGAAGTGGGGGAAAGCCATCATTATCTACCACCTCATAATGATAATGACATATAATGCTCGTTGTAATCATTTTCATTATTGTGAACATTATATGCCTAGTCATGCAAGTTCTGGGTCCAGCCTTTGAAGGCTATAAACTTGTGAAGTGGTTGGTGCTTCATGACTCGGTTGGGTGAATTATTTTTTATTTAAAAATAATACAACGTTGGTTATTTATTAATATCTACCAGACGTGGTATGTTGTTCAAAAAAATTCAAATTGTTACAATGTTGGTTTTGAATTTAACCGACGTCGTATCAATTTTTAAATTTTTTAAAAAAATATATACCAGGTCAGTTTTTTAGCCACATATAATATACACAATAAGAGCTGATAAAATTTTATATTATTTTTATGATTGGCTATTCAAAATATCCACAAGAGTAAAGCTTAAGCTAATACTAAATTTTAAAACAAGCACATGTTTATGAAAATATACATAAGAAAATTAAAAATAATAATAATTTTTTGTGATTTTTAGGTCAAGTCCCTTCCCCACACTTCTTTTCAACTTTGTGAGATGAAAGAAAAGAAAAGGAGAGTCTACCATGGTTTGTTTTTCCTTTTGTCCAATTCTCATTTGACTATGCAATTTGTGAATAGAAAGAAAAAAAAAATTGTTTTATGATCAACACCATTCAAATTATTTTCAAAAATAAAAAAATAAAATAAAAAATAAAAAACATTCAAATTATTCTTTTTTTGGAGTTTATCAAACTCCAACTTATCTTTCTGTGCAAAATCTAACCCCATTAAATATAAAACAGTGGTTAGCTCTATTACCTATTGAAAGTCTATACCGTAGGTTTTTGGCCACAAGTGTATTGATGTTTTATTCATTTATTTATATTGAACCGCGAAGCATGCAAAACTAGCTATTTCACTAGCTAGTTCGTTATATATGTTCGAGGTATGTGCATAACTCTTTTATTTTCTTCATATCTTCTCATTACATATTAAAATTTGAAAGTTTTATTAAATTTCAACTAATTTTATATCAAGTTAAATATTATCGAAAATCATCTAACAAATTTTTGTTTCAAGTTTTATTATTTTGTTCATTTTCGTCCCTCTCTCTTTCTTCACATGTGATTAATTATATTACCTTTTAATGGTCGAGTTAATGTGATGGAATGGGACATATATGATATAGAAGTTGCCGCTGGTGGTCTGCCGTGAAGAGAGGAAGACTGTCGATCTCTCACTTTTCTTTTTGCTTATCTTATGATGAATTGAATTTTTTGGAGCTATATTGGAGTCGTGATTTCGTGCAGTTTTTGGAGAAATAAGGGTTTTTTTTTTTTTTTTTATTTGGTTTAAATATTGTGGAAAAATGGCGAATTGACGCCCCAGAGAGAGAACAAAGAGAAGATTTTGGTGGTGCTGGTTTTGCAATGGTACGCTGCATTTACACCACCCCTCTCTTTCTTTTTCTTTCTTTATTAATTCTGATTTTCTCACCTCAAATATTTGGGATTTCCGCATTGTAGAGGATCCCAGTATGAGATTAATATGCACATACCACTTTGGTTATTTAAAATAACCGAAGTGGTATCGTTTTTTAAAATTTTTAAAAATATATAAGATGTCGAATTAATGTGATGGAATGGGACATATATGATATGGAAGTTGCCCTTTCAATTTAATTTATTTTGTTTTAATTATCCAATTTTTTCTCAACTTTTTTTTAGAATTCAGGGATACTATTAGATTTCTCAAATGGACAAATAGTATTATTGTGATGTATAAATTTGTAAACTGAACACAAAACATAGCATTACATTATATTGTTAGAATTATTATTATTTCCAAACATGAAATCATTAGACTAAAATTTCAATAAAAATAAATGAGAGAATATTTTGACATCTTTGAAGTCTTATCGAAAAATAAGATTAGTGATTGCTAGTCGACTAGCGGAGGACAGGTGTGGTTAGACCAAATATATGTTCAAGGCATTGCCATGAAAGTGCTTAAATCATATCTAGTAATCCATTCCTCCATCTGATCCGGTAATAATTACACCACAACTGGAGTATATTTCATTCTTACGTAGTTTGTGACCTATTTATATACACACGAATAGAAGATATTCATAACGGAATACTTTAATTTATTAGTACAATTATTACACATATACCTTTCATTACATATAAATACTCCGTAGAAAAGATATACTAGACCCATACACTTTTATTTAACCTGAGTAGAACTCATAATCAATAATTCTGCACCAGAATTATATTTATCAATGACAAAGATGTAGATAAGATTCTCATAAGGAATCCTTATGATAGCTGCTTGAGAATCATATCATAAGAACATAATCATAAATACTACAGTACTTTTAACACAAGACTTGCACTAATTAATATGAGAATAGTAGCTAGCTAGAGAGTTGAGAATGAAATTAAAGTTGATAGTTTTAATTAAATACTACTTACGTTTGCTGAATTTGACCTTCAAACCATATTTTTTTTCTAGAAGGATTGAATCGGCAATTAGAACTGTTTCTGGATGATGAGGTTCCACCAGTTGAAATTGATAGTGACATATTATGGTAGCTGCAATCATTTTGATCATAGTGAAAGCCATATCCCTGCCTATGCAAGATCTGGGTCCAGCATTGAAGACTGGATACTTATAAGAAGGTTGACGTTTGATTCCACCATCGGGTGAAATCCACCTCTCCGGCTTGAATTCCATGCAATCTTCACCCCACACCGTATCCATCCTCCCCATGGAATAAAATGACATTATTATTTTTATGTTTGGAGTAACAACATGGCCACTGGGGAGAATATCCTTCTCAATCGGGATCTTGTGGTTCAAAGGAACCGAAGGAAATAACCTGAGAGATTCACAAATGGCGGCGTGGAGGTAGGTTAACTTCTGGCATTCTTCTACCTTAAAAACTTTCTTGTTTTGTTTAAGTTGAAGGATGTGGTGGAGGATCTTTGCTTCAACCTGAGGGTTTTGTGCAAGGAGCAGAAAGAACCAAGTGAGTGCCGAAGCCGTGGTGTCTCCTCCGGCGATGATCAATGTCACAAAGGTGTCTCTCAGAAACTGCATCGACTTTCCTCGGTGGGTTTCGATGTGTGACGTCAGCATGCCGGAGGAATCGTGTGGTTGCTGCTGGGTTTTGTTATTTAGCTGTTCCGTCCTCTCCTCAAGTATGGGATATATGAAGTTATCGAAAGTCCGATCAGCTTGAGTAAGCTTATTCTCTCTGTCAATCCCATAATATTTCTGCAGCTTCCAACACCTTTCCGGAAGTATATGTCTATATAGAATAGCGTTCACGGTATCCCTGATCGCCTCCCGGAATGGATGGTCGTCGGTTGGGTCAACGCAAAGACTGCCGGGATCCTTGTCCAGAAACTGCTGACAGCTTATGTCGAAAGCCATTCTCTGAAAAATCTCCTGCAAATCGAAGTGGGTCCCTTGTTGAGCGTAATGGTCAAGAACTGGAAACAACCCATTCTCGATCTTCTGCGACACGTTCCTCTCCAAGGAAGTGCGGAAGTTGGCCTGGTTCATGAGCGGCGGCGTGGTCTTCCGGTGAAGCTCCCATAGGTCCGAGTCCACGTTTATCATCCCATCTCCGATGATGTGAAATATTTTCCGGAAACCAGGACCCTTTGGATAGTTCTCGAAGTTTCTGCTGAGGATGTGATTGACATTAGCCGGGTCGCATGTGATAAGCATGTCCATGTTAGCAAACCATGGACCTTTGAACTCAAATGTCCCACCACATTGTCTGAGACCCTCTGTTAGATAATCGTGGATGTGGCCGGCGTTCTGTAGGAGCGCCGGCAACATTCCGATGACAGGCCAATTCGTGGGAAATAGGAATCGGCCGGTGTGTTTCCGCCAAATCTGCCGCGCCCATAGCCAACACAAAACACTACATAACATAGTCACAACAATTACATCATCATAAGACTCTTTGAAGATTCTCATTGTATATCTGCTTGCTAGCTAGGTGATAGATGCAACATATATATAAATAATATTCGATGAAATTAAGCTAGGAACTTGAACTGGCTTGTCTTTTCATCACTCGTACTAATATATTTTTAGCAAAAAATTAAAAATGTGGCAACTGGCAAGTCATAATAATATATTTAAGTTTGAAGACCCACCACATGCAGTAGGTGAGGTAAATAGCTCAAATACTGGGTTACATGCATGTTCTCCATAATATCATAAGTTGTTAAAGTATCTAGATGATAATGCTCCATAGCTTGAGTCTTATTTCTTTATTTTATATTTATCTCTTTATCATATGTGTTTTCATATTTTGTTTAGTTACCTTAGCCTTACAACTTGTTACGGATTGCTTAATTAGCTTCTTGTGTATTTCCTAGTGCTAGTGCCGAGTTACTTGTGATTATATACGTGCCAAAACCCCAATCCTCTGAAGACGACATTTCACACCCATATACTCACTATCACTGTTTTTTCTACATAAAAAATTGACGCCATTGCTGAGGATTGACAATTTAGTGGTTCTATGTGATTGATTGTTTTAGCATTAGAGTTTGGGTAATCCTAGTAGACTAAGCTTTTTCTTTCTTTTTGTTTGTTTTTTATTATTCAACGAGCTAATTGTTTTACTTGTTTGAATTTCGGTTGAACGGTCCTTACTTTGTGTATACACTCTAGATTTTAAAGGATGAGTTTCTAACACTCAATCAAGAACTTTCAACATGGTTGAACGGTCCTTACTTTGTGTATGCATTCCAAGGAGGATATATATAATGATTCTCAATCTTATGGCTGTGGTAAATCAACATGATCGATATGGAGATCCTTGCACAACTCAAACCCCACCTCCTAACAACTACTATGGTGCCCAATCCCCATACTTTTATCCACTACAATTCCACCTTCAAAACTCATAATCTCAATACACTCCAAACTAACAAAATTCTTACACATCACAATCCTACCATACCAAGACTCACCTTACCATTACCAAACTCCCAATATGCTTCGTGTGATCAATACTCTCACACCTAACAAACATCTCCATACTCTGATCTACCTACTATTCTTACCAACCAAACTCTCCTCTATACCACCCCAAAATCCATACCATCAAAGTTCACCTCTAAATTCTTTTTCCCCACCCACTCAATGCTCATAAGTGTGGGGAAAAATTGATTAGATGAGGAGACCTTAACAGACTAGGGGTTGGAGAGTCACTATTGTACCCGATGATGACATTGAGGATGAGCGTTATCCCATGAAATCAAGTAAGGAAGAATATGTCAATAATCATGTGAGAAACAAACACACCCATTGTTGTCATTAAGCTTGAAACTTGGCTTCTCAATTGATTATACATCCTGATCTGTTGAGTATATATATACTGTCATTAAGCTTGAAACTTGTCTCTTCAATTGATTATAAATTCTGATCTGTCGAGTATATATATACTGACAAATTTATTATGTGATGATCACTATTTATTGTGATTAATGGTAGAACTTGGATGGCTTATGAATTGATTTTATATTGTGATGCATTGACTTTACTAGTATAGTTAGGTATGTGATAGCACAGTATTGTTGAAAAATGATTCGTTTGGAAACCATTCCCAGTACATGTAATGTTGAAGCTAAGGCGATTAACCCATATACAATATCAATGAGTTCTTTTTTTTTTTTTAAAGGAATATCAATGAGTCTATTAATCATGTTTATTGAACTTGACCTTCAAACCATGCATGTTTCATTTTAAGATTCGATCCTTGGCTTTGAGATCAGAATGAAGCAATCTTAAATCTTCAGGCAAGCTCTTCCACCTAAATGAGGTGTCTACAATTCAGCAAAGGGATTAGTTACTCTGACGTTGAAAACCTGGGTACACTTAAAAAAAAAAAAAAAAAAAAAAAAACGAGATGGTAGAATTGGAGGATGAGTCACATATTATGCTAGCTAGCTGCAACCATTTTCACTACAATATATAAAAGACATTTCTTTGACATCGCAAATTATGCCCTGGAAACGTGTTCACCGTGAATGGTGAACACAAGTCCAAACGACGTCGTTTTTACGCACAAAAAAAAAAAAAAAAAAAAAAAAAAATCGCGGATGTGGAGTTAACGGTGCCATTTGATCAAATTATGAATTTTCTGTTATGAGATTATGAATGTAATGAAAATTCATAATCGCATAAAAGTAAAATATTTATTAAATTATGAATTTTCTGTTATGAGAATGAGATTATGAATGTAATGTAGATTCATAATCTCATAACAGAAAATTCATAATTTCATAACAGAAAATTCATAATCTCATAACAGAAAATTCATAATCTCATAACTGAAAATTCATAATCTTATAACAGAAAATTCATAATCTCATGGTTCCAAAGTGAATGTGTAGGCATGGTTCCAAAGTGAATGTGCAGGCATGGATTCATAATTTATGAATGTACGTGATTTCAGACGGAAATGTGTAGGCATGGTTCTAAAGTGAATGTGCAGGCATGAATTCATAATTTATGAATGTCCGAAATCATTGCTCACCTCAAATTAAAGGGTGAAACCGTGAAATGTGAAAATGAAGAAGAAAAGTCACACAATTAATTAAGAAAAAAAAAAAAGAAAAAGATAACGATGTACTAACACCGTTGGAACCGTGTTTACCATGAATGGTGAACAAGGTTCCATGGCATAACGATTGTCTTTACCTATACAAGTCCTGGGTCCGGCATTGAATACCACCTCTCAGGCTTAAACATCATACCATCTTCACCCCGGCCCATATAATATGTACAATTGATAATGCCAACAAAGTAGTATTAAACTAGCACAAAGTTATTTAAATTTGTAAACTGATCGAAGACAAAACATAACATTGTTAGAATTATTATTTCCAAACATGAAATCATTAGACTAACATTCTAATAAAAATAAATGAGAGAATATTTTGTCATTTTTGAAGTCTTATCGAAAAACAAGATTAGTGATTGCTAGTCGACTAGCTGAGAACAGGTGTGGTTAGACCAAATATATGTTCAAGGCATTGCTATGAAACTCTTATCATGTGCTTAAATCATATCTAGTAATTCATAACTCCATCGAGTAATAATTACACCACAAGCGGAGTACATTTCGTTCTTATGTAGTTTGTGGCTGGCCTATTCCTATACACACGAAGATATTCATAACGAGATACTTTAATCTATTAGTACAATTAGTACGCACATAGCCTGGGGCAAGTACACACATAGCTTTCATTACATATAAATACTTCTTAGTAAAGAAGTACAAGACTCATACACTTTTATTTAACCAGAGCAGAACTCATTATCAATAATTCTGCACACGCATTATATTTATCAATGACAAGGATATATATAAGATTCTCATAAGAAATACTTATGCTGGTGATGTTATCACATCTTTGCTTGTTTTTATAGTTATTTTGAATCATCTCAGTATTTAAGTTCTTTAATTTTGCTTATTTAATACATATTTTCCTTGCTATTATCATTTAATTATGGTTCACACTTGTTTTGAATGTTTTATGGTGTTTGTTAGTGTTTTTTGAACCATTGTAGGTCAATTCTATGAGCAAGGGAAGTTCAAGGATGAGTTTAGAGCAATTTTGGATGAGTTCGGGGCCCAGTGGACTCGACGCGTCGAGCCAAGGGCTCGACACGTCGAAATTTTCCAGTAGCTAATTAATTCGCGCACAGGAAGTCTCGACGCGTCGAGAATTTTCTCGACGCGTCGAATATGCGTCTGTTTCTGGGATAAAAACAGACGCCTAAAGTGGCGCGGATAAAACAACAGACGCCTAAAGTGGCGCAGCTGGGCAAAATTCAATACAAGCGCGAGATTTCTTTTCCTAATATCAATTGCGCGGACTTCAAGGCTCATATCTCCATATTAAAAGTTAGCAATTCAAGGAATCTTCCAAATTCTAAATATCATTAAAGACGGCAATTTCTTTATTTAAATATAGGAATTAGAATTTGAGTCCAATTTGGTACAAGATTTCTATTTCATCTCAACTTTGTACCCACTATAAAATCCCTCCTTCCTCAACCCTAAGGACAGACCGAGAGATTTTTAGAGTTCTTTGTAGACAAGAAAGAGAGAAATCAAGAGGCTCAAGTCGTCTTTGGAAGCAAGGATGAAGCCAGGGAGATTTGGGAGAATCGCTTGGTTAATTCTTGTACTCTTCTGATGATTTGTAATCCTTTATTCATATTTGCTATGTATAATTTAGCCATGCTCGGCTAAATTCCTTAGGGATTTTTGGGTGAATTTGTTTATGAACCTATGTGCCTAGTTCGTTAATTTCTTAATATATTTATGTTTGGTTTTATGATTTGCGTTGCAATCTTGTTTTAATCTGTTGTTGTTGGTAGTTAAAGGCCTAAATTACTAGCTTCACAGTCATGTTTGTGTCACCAATGGGAGTTGGGGCATAAATTAGGACACACACGATTGCACCTAATGGTTGGTCCTTGGGAAAGGGGAACTTATTAGGGGAAATTTATTCTAGATTATTGCTCATCGGGAGATGGTAGTAATTAGGAATAATTGAATGCTGATCTTTGATCTTATTGGGTGTTTAAGCCATGGGAGTGGAAATTCACTAGGAATAGAGATTACGAGAGTAATTCGATTCCACTTTGCATTCCCATACAAATCTTAATTCCAAACCAAATATTACAAACGTTAATTGGCACTAGGTGATTAAACATTGTGATCCCAAGAATCCTATTTTGCTCTATTGTCTACAAAACCTTGCTACTTATTTTATTCTGCTTGTTATTTTATGCAATCAATCAACCTTCAAGTTTTGTTCGGACTAGTTTCATATGAGTAACCTAGTAGCTAGTGATTAGTACACCACCTCTCTGTGGTTCGACAACCCGAATACTCCGGGTATTATTTGTTTGCCCCAAATTACAGCAATCAGCTAGCTGCCTGAGAATCATATCATATGAACGTAATCATAAATACCTTTAACACAAGACTTGCAGTAATTAATATGAGGACAGTAGCTAGAGAGCTGAGAATGAAATTAAAGTTGATAGTCTAAATTAATTACTACATACGTTTGCTGAATTTGACCTTCAAACCATTTTTCATTTCCAGAAGGATTGAATCGGTAACTAGAATTTGCGGATGATGAGGTTCCACCAGTTGAAATTGATAATGACATATTATGGTAGCTGCAATCATTTTGACCATAGTGAAAGCCATATCCCTGCCTATGCAAATTCTGGGTCCAGCATTGAAGACTGGATACTTGTAAGAAGGTTGGCGTTTGATTCCACCATCGGGTGAAATCCACCTCTCGGGCTTGAACTCCATGCAATCTTCACCCCACAGTGTATCCATCCTCCCCATGGAATAAAATGTCATTATTATTTTGGTGTTTGGAGTAACAACGTGGCCGCTGGGGAGAATATCCTTCTCCATCGGGGTCTTGTGGTTCAAAGGAAGCGGAGGAAATAACCTGAGAGATTCACAAAATGCAGCATGGAGGTAGGTTAACTTCTGGCATTCTTCTACCTTAAAAACCTTCTTGTCTTGTTTGAGTTGAAGGATGTGGTGGAGGATCTTTGCTTCAACCTGAGGGTTTTGTGCAAGGAGCAGAAAGAACCAAGTGAGTGCCGTAACGGGAGAGAAGCTGTAGTAACAGAATGAAAAGTTGTTTGATATAACTGGAGAAGAAGACTTATATACAGAGGACGGTTATAACGGCTTGGAAGATAAGAAATTACATAACAAGCCCTCTAATTATTTTGTAATGGTGTCTTCTTTATCAGTCTTGTGCCTATCATCCGATACCCCCCCCCCTAAATTGGCGCATGAAGATCCTTAATGCCCAGTTTAGAGATGAACAGATGAAAAGGTGCTGCCGGAAGGGGCTTGGTAAAACCATCTGCCACCTGAGCTAAAGAAGATACTGAAAGCAATTTAATCAACCCTTGATTAAGTCTTTCTCGCACCACATGACAATCCATGTCGATGTGTTTCGTCCGTTCGTGGAAGACATGGTTCTCGGCAATTGCAATAGCTGACTTATTATCACAGAATATGGCTGCCGGTTTAGATGGTTTGATCTGTAAATCACCAAGCAAAGAAGTGATCCATTGGACCTCACAAACTATGGCTGCTAAGGCCCGGTACTCTGCTTCGGATGAAGAACGGGAGACGGTAACTTGCTTCTTCGTTCTCCATGAAATAAGCGCAGATCCTAGGAAAATGCAGAATCCGGTTGTGGATTTTCGTGTTTCAGGGCATGAAGCCCAATCAGAGTCGGAAAACACATTCAGCTGCATGGAATTCTGTTGTGGATAGAATAAGCCCTGACCAGGAGCTTTCTTGATGTATCTAAGAACACGGTGTGCAGCCGCCATGTGTGCAGTTGTTGGAGCATCTACATATTGACTGAGCTGCTGAATAGCGTATGTTATATCCGGTCTGGTTGCTGTGAGATACAACAGTCGACCAACAAGTCGTCTGTAGCTTGAAGGGTCATCAAGGATGCTGCCACCTTCTTTACTCAAATGAACACCAGGAACCATCGGGGTGTTGGCTGGTTTGGAGTTTAAGAAGCCTGCCTCATCAAGAATCTCCAGGGCATATTTTCTCTGGCACAAATATAAGCCTGATTTGTCTCTGTGAGCCTCTATTCCCATAAAATAACCAAGTGAGCCGAGGTCCTTGATTCTAAAAGAAGCATCTAGAAAATCTTTAAGCTCTTGAATCAGGTTTATATTGGGGCTTGTCACCAATATATCATCTACATACACAAGGATGGCTATGAAATCCCTATCACTGCCCTTGATAAACAGAGATGGATCCGACATGGACTGCCTAAAACCTCTGTGAATCAAAGCTTTGCTAAGCTTGGCATTCCACTGCCGGCTGGCCTGCTTCAAGCCATAGAGGGACCTTAAGAGCTTGCAAACTTGCCCCGGTTTTTCTCCTTGGAAGCCGGGTGGTAGCACCATGTAAACCTCCTCATCTAAATCTCCATGGAGGAATGCGTTGTTAATATCTAGTTGATGCACATGCCATTCCCGAGATGCTGCCATGGCTAGGAATGTGCGTATGGTAGTGATCCTTGCAACCGGTGAAAAAGTCTCGATGTAATCTATCCCCAACTGTTGAGTGTAGCCCTTGGCTACTAACCTGGCCTTGCAACGCTCTATTGTACCATCGGCCTTGATTTTGACCTTGTAAACCCACTTACATCCTATGGGATGTTTCCCAGGGGGAGGATCAACCAACATCCAAGTGTTGTTGTCTTGGAGGGCTTTAATCTCGGCTGCCATTGCATCTCTCCAACATTTATGATGCATGGCTTGACTATATGTTCGTGGCTCATCAATGGTAGTGACTGCTAGTACAAACTCCATATGTGGCAGTGTAAGATGGCTATATGAAATGACCTTAGATAGGAGATGAGGGGATGCACCTTGTGTTGTGGCAGCGTCACAATAATAGTCCATCAGTTTACATGGCGCACGCTTGTTTCGATCAGAACGCCTAGGTTGAGCAGGTGGCATGTAGTGAGACTGGTCAGTGTCTTCTTGGTCATTGCAGCTGTCACAGACTTCCTGAGTATTAAGGCTGACATTTTGTGGCTCATGGACCCCAGTTTCATTTGGTATGCTAAGATCTGTTGGTACATGCTGCTGAGCCATGTTATTGTCTGTTGGATTATGAGAATGCCTTGGCTGATCAACGTTGAGACTATGCTGACCATGTGACTCCATGTTTAGGTCCATATTTGTAGGCACATTGGGCAGAGAAGGCTCTTCATCTGGGATGTTCTGATTGGAGGTCTCTTTTTCTGACATAGGATACTGAGATTCATAGAAAACAACATCTCTTGATACAAAATTTGAGTCATCCTCTAGACAGTATAACATGTAGCCTTTAATTCCGGCTGGAATGCCAATGAATATGCACCTTCTTCCTCTAGGTGCCATCTTGTGCCTGCCATTTGAAAGAGTTGCAGCATAGCATAAACAGCCAAAGACTTTAATGTTGCTCAGATCTGGATCACTACCATATAGCCTTTTGTAAGGACTGGATAAATCAAGAATGGGGGAAGGAAGCCTGTTTATAAGAAAAACCGCATGCATGATGCAGTGTCCCCAAAAATCTAAAGGAAGGTGTGCTTGAAACCGTAACGACCTAGCCACATTGAGAATGTGCTGGTGCTTACGTTCTACTACAGCATTTTGTTGTGGTGTATTGACACACGAACGTTGATGAATGATTCCATTAGCTAGATAAAACTCCTCCATATTGAACTCAGGCCCATTGTCACTGCGAATGGTTTTAATTAGGCTGCCAAACTGAGTGAAAGCATAAGCATGGAAATTTTTAACAAACTGTCTTGCCTCAGATTTATTTCTCATTAAATGGATCCAAGTGAATCTTGAATAGTCATCAACTAAAGTCAAGAAGTAATATTCCCCTTTCAAAGTACAAACATGAAAAGGCCCCCAAATGTCAATATGAATCAAATCAAAACAAGCCTTAGAACTAGAGACACTTATTGGAAACGGAGACCGTTTGTGTTTAGCTAAATGACATGTATCACATGCCACATCTTTATTCTTAGAAGTATCTATATCACAAAGGAGGTGTAGCTTATTTGTTGGGAAATGCCCCAACCTTCGATGCCAAACCTCCGAGCTAGTACACTGCATAGCATAAAACTTCTCTGGCAGCTTTGATGGATGTATCATTATGTATAATCCCCTTTCCTCTCTAGCTAATCCAACTGTCTGGCCATGATTCCCCTGAATCAAACACTGTTTTGGCATGAACATAAGTCTATAAGCAGTATCATGAACCAATTTGCTCACAGAAACGATGTTAAATTTGAATGAAGGAATATATAATGCCTCTTTCAGCCATAAACTATCACTGAGCCTCACATCTCCTATATATTCAACTGCAACACATTGACCAGTGGGGAGATTTACCTCAACTCCTTCTGCTTTATGATGATTAATGAGAGAGTCAAGGGAACACACAATGTTATTTGTGGCTCCTGAATCAAGAATCCAAGTTGAGCAGGTTAAAGAAAAAGAGTTCACTGAGTACTTGCCTTCATTAAATTTCGGGCTTAAGGTCATTGTGGCAGCCGCAGTACTAGGATTAGATGATACTCCGGAGTTGGCCATAGATGATCCAGCTGTTTGAGTCTGTAGTAATGATATGATCTTGTGTAGTTGCTCAGAGATCACCCCTAGATCCCCTGTACTGTCCACGGCTGCTGCAACCTGCTGCTTACCCTTCAACTTGTATCCGGGTATCCAACCGGGGGGATACCCGTGTTTTTTGTAGCATTTTCCACCGTGTGTCCGTTCATACCACAGTAGATACATTTGGCTTTCATCACATTACTTCTTCTGCCATTGTAGTTGTTTAGAGCTGCAACCAGCTCTTCATTGCTTGTAGGTCCATGCACAGCATTAGAATGATTCACATCTGGACCTCCTAGAGTTAGATTTCTTAGACTGATTTGTCTCTCCACCTTTTCTGCCATGACAAAGACTTTGTAAACCTCTGGCAGGGGATCCAACACAAGGACATTGGATTTCAAACTGTTGAAGTCATCATTAAGGCCCTGTAGAAACCGGATCACTTGATCCGTGTCCCTCTCCTTTCTGATGGTGTCGAAAAAGAGATCACAAGCACATTTGGGATTGCATTTGCAGAGAGGGAATGGCCTCAGTGTGTTCATTTCCTCCCACAACGTCCTACACTTCGTGTAGTATTCATTAACGGAAAGAGATCCCTGCTTGAGATCATAAATTTCACTCTGCAAACTGGAAATCCTCTGTGCATCTTGCTGTGAAAACCTTCGTCTGAGGTCCTCCCACACGTCCCTGGCCTTATCAAAATGCATTATACTCTGAGCTATGGATGGATGCACCGATCTGAAGATCCATGAACAGATCATCAGGTTGCAGCGTCTCCAGGCGGCGTAGTGGTGCTGTTCTCGGTTTGGTATTGCGGCACTTCCATCAACTAGAGTCCATTTGTTCTTCACTTCGAGCACGATCCGCATCGATATACTCCAAGTACCATAGTTTGAACTGCCTAGCAGTGGCGGACTCACGAGGATCGTGGATGTGCTATCGTTGGAGCTGAGGAACAAAGGATCCTCCAATTCATGAGTGTTGTAGTTCCTCTGCGATTGAAGCGATCGATTGTCTTGCGGAGTTGTCTGCGGAGTTACGCGAGTTGGAGAATGCGTAACTGGTGTGGTTGCGTTGGTTGCGTGAGCTCCCTGACTGCTTCCACCGCCGCCGGTGACGGCGGCGGCGTACGTACTACGCCGTGGCTCTGATACCATGACGGTTAAGTTCTCATTTAGAACAAGAAAGTGAAACGGGAGAGAAGCTGTAGTAACAGAATGAAAAGTTGTTTGATATAACTGGAGAAGAAGACTTATATACAGAGGACGGTTATAACGGCTTGGAAGATAAGAAATTACATAACAAGCCCTCTAATTATTTTGTAATGGTGTCATCTTTATCAGTCTTGTGCCTATCATCCGATATGCCGAAGCCGTGGTGTCTCCTCCGGCGATGATTAATGTCACAAAGGTGTCTCTCAGAAACTGCATCGACTTTCCTCGGTGGGTTTCGATGTGTGACGTCAGCATGCCGGAATCGTGTGGTTGCTGCTGGGTTTTGTTGTTGAGCTGTTCCGTTCTCTCCTCAAGGATGGGATATATGAAGTTATCGAATGTTTCTGCAGCTTGAGTAAGCTTCTTCTCTCTGTCAATCCCTCCACAAATCCAATATTTCTGCAGTTTCCAATACCTTTCCGGGAGTATATGTCTGTAGAGAATAGCGTTCACGCCATCCCTGATCGCCTTCAGGATTGGATGGTCGCCGGTTGGGTCAACGCAAAGACTGCCGGGATCCTTGTCCAGAAACTGCTGACAGGTTATGTCGAAAGAAATTCTATGGAAAATTTCCTGCAGATCGATGTGGGTTCCTTGTTGAGCGTAATGGTCAAGAACCGGAATCAACCCATTCTCCATCTTCTGCGACACGTTCCTCTCCAAGGAAGTGCGGAAGTTGGCCTGGTTCATGAGCGGCGTCGTGGTCTTCCGGTGAAGCTCCCATAGCTCCGAGTCCACGTTTATCATCCCATCTCCGAGGACGTTAAATATTTTCCGGAAACCAGGACCCTTCGGATAGTTCTCGAAGTTTCTGCAGAGGATGTGATTGACGTTAGCAGGGTCGCCTGTGAGAAGCATGTCCATGTTAGCAAACCATGGACCTTTGATCTCAAATGTCCCACCACTTTCTCGGAGAATCTCTGTTGCATAATCGTGGATGCGGCCGGCGTTCTGTAGGAGGGCCGGCAACATTCCGATGACAGACCAATTCGTGGGAAGTACGCTTCGGCGGCTGCGTTTCTTCCAAATCTGCCGCGCCCATACGCAACACAAAACACAACATAACATAGCCACAACAATTACATCATTATAAGACTCTTTGAAGATGCTCATTGTATATCTGCTTGCTAGCTAGGTGATAGATGCAACATATATATAAATAATATTATATTCGATGAAATTAAGCTAGGAACTTGAATTGGCTTGTCAATTCATCACTCGTACTAATATATTTTTAGCAAAAAATTAAAGATGTGGCAATTGGCAAGTCATAATAATATATTTAAGTTAATTTGAAGACCCACCACATGCAGCAGGTGAGGTAAATAGCTCAAGTACTTGTATACTACTTTTTTTTTTTTGAGATATGTATGATTCATTACAAGGTAGTTGATATGTGCTTATTAGTTTTTTTTTTTTTTTCTTTTTCACTAAACCATTTTGAAATTTCATGAGATTATCACTAAATTGTGTTATTTTGCAAGGGGTTTGGGTTGGAAAGCTTTGGAAGCAACGACGAGTATTTTGATATATTCGGTTGGGCATTGGAGTCAAATGGAGCATTTTGGATACATTAATTGTAACTTTGGGTTCATGTATTTGTGAATGTTTTGTGTTTAAATATTGTTAATGTTTGATGTACACATTAATTAGCATGTAGAATTCTTGGCTACAATGAGAATTGGGTCAAGGGTTTGAGTCACTCCTTGCATGAACCCAATTTGCTTCTATGAAAATAGGGGAAATTAGAGGTTTAAGACGCTTTGTGTGGTTGATGGACTTTGAATTGATACACCATGAGAGTGGAGCAATTCCTTGTTCTAATCCTTGTTTAGTTGCTCACGGAAGTCACTTTAGACTAGGATACATATGTGCATTCTCGATTGACTCATGGGTTACTTGTTCTCCCTAATTCCATAGGTTGTTAAAGCATCTAGATGATAATGCTCCTTAACTTGAGTCTTATTTCTTTATTTTGTATTTACCTCTTGATCATATGTGTTTTGGTATTTTGTTTAGTTACCTTAGCCTTATGACTTGTTACGGATTGCTTAATTAGCTTCTTGTGTATTTCCTAGTGCTAGTGTATGTCGAGTTACTTATGATTATATACGTGTCATAACCCCAATCCCCCTGAGAACGAAATTTCACACCCATATACTCATCACTATCACTATTTTTGCTACATCAAAAATTGACGCCGTTGCCGAGGATTAGCAATTTGGTGGTTCTATATATGTGATTGATTGTTTTACTAGCATTAGACTTTGGGGAATCTTAGTAGACTAAGCTTTTTCTTTCTTTTTGTTTGTTTTTTATTATTCAAAGAGTTAATTGTTTTACCTTGTTTGAATTTCGATTGATGGGTCTTTACTTTGTGCATACACTCTAGATTTTAAGGGATGAGCTTCTACCACTCAATCAAGAACTTTAACCATGGATGTTTATGCATTCCAAGGAGGATATAATGATTCTCAATCTTATGACTGTAGCAAATCAATATGATGGATATGGAGATCCTTGCACAACTCAAGCCCCATCTCCTAACAACTACTATGGTGCTCAATCCCCATACTTTTATCCACCACAATTCCACCCTCAAAACTCTTACTCTCAATACACTCCAAACTACCAAAATTATTACCCATCACAATCCTACCATACCAAGACTCATCTTACCATTCTCAAAATCCCAATATGCTTCGTGTGATCAAGACCCTCACACCCAACAAACATCTCCATACTCTTGATCTACCTACTATTCTTACCAACCAAACTCTCCTCCACCACCCCAAAATCCATACCATCAAAGCTCACCTCTAAATTCTTTTTCCCCACCCACTCAATGCTCATCAAGTGTGGGGAAAAATTGATTAGATGAGGAGACCTTAGCATTGACTAGGGGTTGGAGAGTCACTATTGTACCCGATGATGACATTGAGGATGAGCGTTATCCCATGAAATTAAGTAAGGAAGAATATGTCAATAATCATGTGAGAACCAAACACACCCATTGTTGTCATTAAGCTTGAAACTTGGCTTCTTAATTGATTATACATCCTGATGTGTTGAGTATATATATACTGTCATTAAGCTTGAAACTTGTCTTCTCAATTGATTATAAATTCTGATCTGTCGAGTATATATATACTGACAAATTTATTATGTGATGATCACTATTTATTGTGATTAATGTATGGTAGAACTTGGATGGCTTCTGAATTGATTTTATATTGTGATCCATTGACTTTACTAGTATAGTTAGGTATGTGATAGCACAGTATTATGATTATATATATATTAATGATAGAGTTTGACATGTGCTTAAATCATACTCGGTATCTAGTAATTCATAACTCCATCACGTAATAATAACATAATAACCCACAAACATAGTGCATTTAATTTCTTATATAGTTTGTGGCCTATTTCTATACACACCAAGAAGATATTCATACCGGAATACTTTAATTTATTAGTACAATTAATACACACTTAGCCTGGGGTAAGTACAAACATAGCTTTCATTAGATATAATACTGGTTCCATAGTAAAAACATACAAGACCCGTACGCTTTATTTAACCTGATCCAGCAGAACTCATTGTCAATAATTCCGCACAGGCATTATATCTATCAATGACAAGGATATAAGATTCTCATAAGGAATACTTATGCTAGCTGCCTAACATAATCATAAATACTTTTAACACAAGACTCGCTTGCATTAATTAATTAATATGAGGCGGGATAGTAAAGATTGAGCTGTGAATAAAACTAAAGTTGATAGTCATAATTAATTACTACTTACGTTTGCTGAATTTGATCTTCAAACCATGTTTCTTTTCTAGAAGGATGGAATCAGTAATTAGAACCTCTGAATGATGAGGTTCCACCAGTTGAAATTGATAGTGACATATTATGGTAGCTGCAATCATTTTGACAATAGTGAAAGCCATATTTCTGCCTATGCAACTTCTGGGTCCAGCATTGAAGACGGGATACTTGTAAAAAGGTTGGCGTTTGATTCCACCATCCGGTGAAATCCACCTCTCGGGCTTGAACTCCATGCAGTCTTCACCCCACACTATATCCATCCTCCCCATGGAATAAAATGGCATTATTATTTTCATGTTTGGAGTAACAACATGGCCGCTGGGGAGAATATCCTTCTCAATCGGGATCTTGTGGTTTAAAGGAACCGAAGGAAATAACCTGAGAGATTCACAAAAGGCGGCGTGGAGGTAGGTTAACTTCTGGCATTCTTCTACCTTAAAAATCTTCTTGTCTTGTTTGAGTTGAAGGATGTCGTGGAGGATCTTTGCTTCAACCTGAGGGTTTTGTGCAAGGAGCAGAAAGAACCAAGTGAGTGCTGAAGCCGTGGTGTCTCCTCCGGCGATGATCAATGTCACAAAGGTATCTCTCAGAAACTGCATCGACTTTCCTCGGTGGGTTTCGATGTGTGACGTCAGCATGCCGGAGGAATCGTGTGGTTGCTGTTGGGTTTTGTTATTGAGCTGTTCCGTCCTCTCCTCAAGTATGGGATATATGAAGTTATCGAAAGTCCGATCAGCTTGAGTAAGCTTCTTCTCTCTGTCAATCCCATAATATTTCTGCAGCTTCCAACACCTTTCCGGAAGTATATGTCTATATAGAATAGCGTTCACGGCATCCCTGATCGCCTCCCGGAATGGATGGTCGTCGGTTGGGTCAACGCAAAGACTGCCTGGATCCTTGTCCAGAAACTGCTGACAGCTTATGTCGAAAGCCATTCTCTGGAAAATCTCCTGCAAATCGATGTGGGTCCCTTGTTGAGCGTAATGGTCAAGAACCGGAATCAACCCATTCTCCATCTTCTGCGACACGTTCCTCTCCAAGGAAGTGCGGAAGTTGGCCTGGTTCATAAGCGGCGGCGTGGTCTTCCGGTGAAGCTCCCATAGCTCCGAGTCCACGTTTATCATCCCCTCTCCGACGACGTGAAATATTTTCTGGAAACGAGGACCCTTCGGATAGTTCTGGAAGTTTCTGCAGAGGATGTGATTGACGTTAGCAGGGTCGCAGGTGATAAGCATGTCCATGTTAGCAAACCATGGACCTTTGAACACAAATGTCCCACCACATTGTCTGAGACCCTCTGTTACATAATCGTGGATGCGGCCGGCGTTCTGTAGGAACGCCGGCAACATTCCGACGACAGGCCAATTCGTGGGAAGTACGCTTCGGCGGCTGCGTTTCTTCCAAATCTGCCGCGCCCATACGCAACACAAAACACAACATAACATAGCCACAACAATTACATCATTATAAGACTCTTTGAAGATTCTCATTGTATATCTGCTTGAATTGCTAGCTAGGTGATAGATGCAACATATATATAAATAATATTATATTCGATGAAATTAA